CGTAGGTAATAATTTTTGTAAACGGTCGCATTTCCTTCTCATTCCTTTCCAAAATTGAACGCTCTTATTCTACGGAAGAAGTTATAATTCTTTATTAGAAGCATTACAACATTTGGAAACTTGATTTTGATCAGAAAGCGGTTAATTTCTCCATTACGCAAACTCTGTTGGAAATAGAACCCATTATACAGTGGGCAGGTAACTAACAGCTGCGCCATGCGGTCGTTTAAATTATATTTCTCTACTTTAAATTTTCGGTAGGCCAAAACAGTCCTAATAAAGTTACTACTGTTTTGAAATTTTATATACCATTTCAAATTTTAATAAAATGACGATTATAGAAACTGAGAAAGTAGTTTTTAAAAATATTAATGAAACAGACTTCTTGAGTTATTAAAAAGTTAAGTTATATTTATTTACAGTATTTTCTTAACATTACGAAAATGCGGTCATTTTTTTAAAGAAATAAACCATTCGATCCCTCGTCCCGCGACGGAGCGAAAGCAAGCGACCCCGAAATTGCCGTCCGCATTCACCCAGACAAAAGCCCTAAAACACACCCCGCGAGCAAAAAGAAAAGCATTTCCATCCCATCCCCTCCTTTAAATTTCCCGCCCCAGAGCGGGGGCGGCGACCGTAGGGGTGGCTTCCGTATAATAGAGACTAAACTTGGAGTCACGTTGAAAAGAATGAGACGGGCGTATGTCCACCTGTTGCGCTAAAGTTTCGTATTTTCGCCGTAGGTTCATTTTTCGTTTCTTACAGTATTCTAAAGGATTTGAATGGCGAGCTCCGTGCATGCGTACTCGCTTGCTTAGGGTTAGGTATTGAACGGGTATTGAAGCTGCGAAAGCGCGTTCGATTTTAAACGTCATATTTTTTTCATCTACCCCATTTGCATTTTATGCTTCGACGGTACTCTTGTGAGTCGTAAAATTATTTTTATGTAGACGTTTCGAGCATTGGAGGCACTTTAATGTGTCTATACTAATAAGAAACGTCATTTAATGCTTACGTTCACATATAAAAATATAAAGTTTACAACTAACTAATGGACACTAACTTTATATGAAATTTCGATTCATTATGTGGAATCGATCGAAATTGTTCTCTAGGCCATAAAAGAAAAGATAGTGTTATCTAAACCATTGAAATTTATTGGAAATTACTTTAAATTTAATGATCTATCTACAATTTTTGTAGACTGTTTTCCTATGACATTTAAATTTCTACAGCTCTATGAAAAAAAAAACGTTATTTTTAATAACACAATGAAAGGTACCCCTGAAACACGGTATAAAGTCGGCAAAATATGCCATGTGATAGAATTATTCCTCAGTTTGTTCGGATGCAGGATGAAGACAAAAATAAAAACTGTTTGGGTAACCATTTCCGGCTGGTCCGGGTTCGAAGACGGCTAAACACGTGGTGTGGTTATTACAGAGAAATAATCAAATAAAAATAGCATGCGCGCGATGCACGATAAAATTACGATGAAGATCCTTGCATATTTGTGTTTATAGGTAGGTATAAGTGAAATCTTAAATCCTGAGATATGTTAAAGCTGTATTAGATTTTATACAGGCATTACCTCTCCCCCAGGGAGTTCGCTGAGAAAAGATTGTTCGGATTATCGTGAAGTGCAAACGTCATACGAAATATTTTCGATGTATTTCTTACATCAATTTTGTAGTAGCGTTCTGTTATTGTATTGCTCGTTTAATAGCTTTATATATACATCTTTAGTCTTTAATGTACTGGAATAATGTTAAATAACACTAAGAAGCAAGCATGGTGGCATATTTCCGAACACTAAATTGTAGTTGGAGTGACGACCTGGTTAGACATGGAAGTGGATGGATTCAGGTGACTCAGGACCGTGTTTCAAAGCATTTCTATGATCAGCGGTGGACTTGTAAATGGTTTTAATGATGATGATGTAATATATAGCGTGAAAATGTTTTTTTTTTCTATTATTATTTTATTCGTTCATACGTTTATTTATCTATTTCTATAAAATGTTGAGATGCATTGTCGAACAACGATAAATTGTAATACGGTGAATAGAAGCATAACATGTCAAATTACTATACAAAGCGATGTTCGATAGAGCAAGATATAACCATATACTACAGATTATAAGTTGAGATATGAAATAAAATATTAAAACGTAATATTATCATATTTATTTATTTTTTATAAATTTAAAACGACAAAGGAATTTACAGTCTACCTTGTAATAAGTTGCTACTGCAGTACATGGACACCTGCAACCGACTTCGAACAAAGAAGGCTACAGATGCGTTGTCACCTCTAAGGACTAGGCTGGAATGATAAACTAAGTGCCACAATCTACAATTTACACTGGCTCTCTCTGCACTGCAGGCACTGCTGCTTGGCGCCAGAAATAGATAAGAGAGTGTTCCCTACCCAGACGGACAGAAATGGAGTCTTGCCACCGAGTACATTAGATAATTTGCAAGTTAACGAGCGCAAACATCAATTTACCAATAATTTTAAACGAATGTGGACTAGGTTTTTAGAAATTTGATAAATATGACATGGCGTTATATAAAATAATTAATTGAAGTTGTTCAAGAAAACTAATATTGTATAAACTCCTCAAGAAAATAATACAAAGAAAAAAAAATTAAAGACTACACAAACCCTGATTATTTCTAGGATAGATGTGGAAATAATGATCTATTCGAAATTTTATGACCTTTTTTCTATTATTTTCTGTTAACAACTTAAAATATTAAAAAAACTACCGTTGCCGAACCATCTGCGACGCATGGTAACGATGGCAAAATCCTCCCTTATGATGCAATCGATGAGGAGGTAAGCCTATTTTTTGGGCTATGTTACAAGTTACCTCATCCAATTCAGCCGTTTTCTGGATATAGTTCAATAAAATAAAATAAAATATTCTCATTTTAATTCTGCTTAAAAATTTGTAAGCTATAAATGAAATAAACTTTAATAATGTAGATGATGAAGAATACTCTCAGATTTATAATTTTCAGAATTAAGTTCACTCCTTTCCAAAAATAGGAGTCAGAAAACAACCTTCCTTTCTACTTTGGCAGCAGTATTCACATTAAATTTTAAACCATCCTTTGTAGGTATCATAAGTTATAATTAAGTATCGATTAGCCATTTTTTTCAAAGAGTAAAACCACCGGCGGGAACTAGTGCATAATGCTGATAGATAGAATATAAGATAGAAGTGAAGTATTGAAAGCGCATAATTGACATGTTTCACCGTTGGCCATGCGAGATAATTACGATTAGATAAAATATCTCGAAGTGTTTTGATACGCGCGTCAGAAACAACGCTAAATTGATATTGCGAAGTAGCTCGACGTAAGTAATATGCTTTGTATTTCAAACCTTTTTATACTGTGTTAATCGCATACACGATATGAGTTAGTACTTTAATGTGCCGAATAACTCCGGGACTTAGCTTACTAAATAGACTTAGTAAAATTTACGTAAATAGTTGGGATTCGATTACCGCCGGCACGTTTTTAACGTGGTAGAGCCTTGCTACATACAGCTACATAATAGTATAGTTGTAGCACGAATCGATCGGCTCGACCGGGGAAAAACCACGCTCTCACAGAATACCAGCGTAAAATAGCAGCATGAAGCTGCTGTGTTTCGTATAGTGAGTGTAGAGCACCGGAGACCTTTTTACTGGAAAAGAGGCATTCCATCTTAGTCCTCAATGATGACAATGCATCTGCATTTTGATACTTTATTGAGGATAGATGTAGATGTCTATGTGTCAGAGCAAACACTTACCATCAGAAGGAGTGTGTGATCATTTGTCACTCTATGCTATAAAAAAAATGAAGGAAAACTTCGAGCGAAAATTTGCATGTATAAGAAATAAAATATGTCAAGGATAGGTCAAGCCCGTCAAGAGGGGTTAATAATAACCTCCATTTACTTACCTACATAACTTCCTTCTCAGAAATGACAAGAGTATAATATATATAGAATGTACCTTCAATGTTTAGACTTTCGATATGATAACGTAAAATGATTGGGAATTTTCCAATTACATACTGTATTATTCAAGTTATTCCCACGCGAAAAAAAAACAGATTACTTTGCATCAAAGCAAATTTAGTAACCCTAAGCAAATGATCCTCTCGCTATACACGTCAGAGAAAATTAACTAGATATTAGTAAAAGAATATAATAAAGCTATTTGTTTGTAACAAGAGAAAATATTCAATACAAAAACTAATTAATTGTTATAAATAATAGTAACAGCTATTGTTCTTCAAATAGGTACAAGTTTTTCTTCTCTCCTTTAGATTGGCTTTATTTGGTGTGAGATTTATTATACTTATTTCAGGGATATTTTTGGTAATATTAATCCAGAATTTTTATATTTTCTTGGTTTAAGACTTTGAGTCTCTACAAAGAAAATGTAATGAAACCATTTTGGTTTTAAGCTACTTTTATATATACTTTAATGGAAATGACTTTACTTTTATGTTAATATTGTAAGTGTAGTAGTTGTCTTATGTATTAAAGAACAAATATAGTCAGATATTTCCATTTTCCCCTTAGAATAGTAAAAGTCGTTAAAGGAAAATGAGAGACAAGTTTTACTATCGTTAAAAGACGCTTCTACTTTCGCTGTCCTATAAATGTTAGCAAACATAATTTACTAAATGGTCATAAAGGAGGCAGCATTCGCATATTTGCAACGAGCAGGTTCATGTAATAGGCTTTTATAAATTTAGATTGTACAGAATTCGTATAGCGGTTTCCATAAAAGTCAAATTTAAGAATATTATACAAAATAGTCAATAGATGATCATTGGTAACACTGCAAGTAATCGAGGTACAAAAATATATTTTTGCTGTCGAAATTACTCGATTTGGTGTACAACAACCCCTCCGTTTGCACAATAAGTTTACCCTAGGTCTGAAATAAGATGTACTAATTTGACGTGGCTTTGTAATAAAAATAAACTTACCATAGAGACGGGCAGGGGATGCGCTCCACCGTTGGGATAGGGGTACGGTGTCACGAGGTAGCCCATGTTAAAACTTGCAGCTGGATGCGGCTCGAATTTACCTGTCAACAGAAACAACAGTATTAATCAGTTTAGAGCAAAATATACGCCCACTTTTGTATTCTATTCTAAAGCATATGATCAATCATTCCACCTTAACCCAACACACAGAGGTAGATAGCTTTCTTTGTTTGAAGTGGATTCCTTGGACTGTAGCACTTTAAAGTTAGAAAAATAAAAATAACTGTTTGTGCTAGGCCTTACCTTACAAACCTTAAATTATAACATTTGTTTATGTAAAATAATTTACCATATGAGTAATAGCACAAAATCCACCCAAAAATTCTGAAGTCATGTCATAAAGATGGAGAGCAATACCAGTACGAAGATTTCAAATTCATCATATGCTTAAGTATGAATTATACTATTTTTCGTTTGGTCGGAATTCGACCAAATGATACTAGTATAATCGATTCGATTATAGCGTTTTGTATGGAAAAATAATGTGTGTACGATTAGTTTATTTTACCTGTCTGAACGGCGTCATCATCATCATCATCATAACCATTACAGCGAATCACAAGTCCCCCATGGAATTCACACAAAGCACAATCCAAGTCATCATCATCATCATCATTACAGCCCTTCACAAGTCCACTGCTGAACATAGGCCACCCCCAAGGAATGCCGCAAAGCACGGTCCTGAGCCACCTGCATCCATCGACTTCCTGCATGTCTTACTAGGTCGTCCGTCACTTCACCTAGTGGTCGCCCTAAACTTCGCGTACAGGTATGATGCTGCCACTCAGGAACATTTTTCCCCATCGGTTGTCGGTTCTTTGAGCTATATGGCCGGCCATTGCCACTTCAGCTTACTAATCCGTTAGGCTGTGTTAGTCACTCTCGTTCTATTGGGGATATCCTTATTTCATTTCAACTTTATCACGCATAGAAACCCCAAGCGTAGCCCTCTCCATAGCTCGCTGAGCGACCTTGAGCTTTCCCATACGGCCAGCAGTAAAGGATCACGTCTCAGTTCCATACATTATCACTGGCAACACGCACTAGTTGTACAGTTTCCTTTTCAAGTTTTGAGGTATACCTGACGAGAAGATGTGTCGTACTTTCTCGAACACTGCCCAGCCGACATGAATCCGTCGATTGACCTCTCGGTCGAAGTTGGACTTACCTAGTCTGACTATTTGTCCCAGGTAAACATACTCGACAAACACTTCGAGCTTAGTGCTCCCAATAACTACCGGCATATTGTGACATGAACCTTATACATGATCTTTGTTTTGGCCTTATTAAGACCTATCCGTTGGAAGGCACTATTCAGGTCATTGAGCATAGTACTTAGGTCCTCCAGCGATTCTGCCATAAAGACTTATATCGTCGACAAATCGAAGGTGAGCGATGTACTCGCCATTGACGTTAATGCCGTATCCTTTCCAGTCCAGTAGCTTGAAAACGACTTCTCATGCAGCGGTGAAGAGTTTCAGGGATATAACGTCACTCTGTCTTACACCTCTCTGCAGTTGGATAGGTTTCGTACTTTGGTTCTGTACTCGGATAGCCCTACTGTACAAACACTTCAGCACTTCGATATACCGACAGTCAACTTGGCACCACTGAAGGCACTGCAGCACCGCCCAAATTTCGACAGATTCAAAGGCTTTCTCATAGTCCACATACGCAAGACATAGTGGCAAATTGTACTCCTCGGTCTTCTGTACAATTTGCCGAAGGGTATGTATGTGGTCCATGGTGCTAAAGCCTTTTCGGAAACCGGCTTGTTCGGGAAGCTGCTTCGAAGGCAAATCGGTCTGTAGTTTTTCAAGAGAACATTGTCGCCTTTCTTGCAGAACAAAACCACCGCACTTCTACTCTATGGAGGACGGAATTAAAGAACTTCTGAATAATTTCAAGCACCGGTTTTCAACCCGCTTTCAGAACCTCTGCTGTAATTCCATCCACGCCCGGGGACTTGCCGTTTTTAAGGTGCTGGAGAGCTATTCTAATCTCGCTCTGACTGAAGTGTGGGATATCATCGGAATGGTTTCGTATAAGACTTATTCTTGGATCGTTACTCAAACTTGCGTGTGGCTCCAACGATGATGTGTACACCTCCCCATAGAACGTCTCAATCTCACTCAAAATCTCAGGTGTCCCGGAAACGATGTTGCCACATTTGGTCTTCAGCTTCGACAGTTGGCTCTTTCTGGCAGATAGATCTCTGGCAAAGACTTTGGAGTCCTGATTCCGCTCGATCGCTTTTGCAATACGAGCAGTATTAAAGTTGCGCAAGTCCCACGGCATGCAATTTGAGATCTGTGTGTTCAGTTGCCTGTATGTTGTCAAATATACTGAAGTCTAACAGCCATGAGATTAAGAATGTGATCGGAGAGTTCTTGTGTTCTTCTGCGGCGGGTCTTGCAGAACTTAGCTCCGACCGCATGGACAATTTCCACAAGCTTGTCATTCATATCGTCCACTGCATTGCAGTCTTCTAGGCACTAAAAACGGTTTTGTAACTAGAGCTGAAAGGTTTCAGGACTCTGGATTAGAGCACGAAGGGGACGGAGCGTTGCCTTTATTAGACGACACCTCTCCAACTTATTAATTACGTTCAGTGTGTCTCTAACCATTCGGTGATCGCTACTAGTTTTCACCCTCGCAATCACTGAGACATCACTGAACAGTTGCCGCCTAGTCGTCATAATGAAGTCAATCACATTTTTTGTCGAACCGTCGGGGCTCACTCCAGTTGCTGTGGGGCCGCTTCTGGAAGAAAGAGTTTATCATAAAGAGTCCCTCTTTCTCCATGAAGTAGGCCAGCTGCTGGCCTCTGAGTTCCGTTGCCCTATTCCAAATTTCCCTACCCTCAGCTCGCCGTTCTCTTGTGCCTAGTTTTGCGTTGAAGTCTCTCATTAACACCGTATAGTGGGTTTTGGAGGAATGCATTGCCGAGGTTGGTGCGTAAACCTGTATGACCTTCAACGAATACAGTTTGGTATTTCTGAGTATAAGGTACGCAACCCTCGTCGACACACTCACAATCTTTACTACGTTGTTAACATGATACTTGTGGACGATAAATCCAACACCTCCTTGTGACAGATGGTCGCCCTCCAGGTGATAGAACAAGTTGCCGGATTTGAGGATTACCGTGTCCTCCCCCAGATAATCCTATAATATTCCAGCGCAACTTGTCTATCTCGTCTTCCAGACCCCGCGAGTCACCTGCATCCATTGACTTAATGCACTCTCACCATGTCGTCACTCAATCTAGTATGGGGCAGCTGAAAAATGGCAACATGCACAACACATTATTTCTGCACAAAATGGCCCAATATTTGATAAAAGTTCATTTCCCTCCTTTTATAATGAAAACTAATAAAACGTACAACAATTTGTAATATCCACCAATTAATGTAATAAAGAATACATAGCAAAGTCGATTTAAATAGGTTGTAAAAGTAATTTAACACGCAAAGTCCTACCCACAGTAGTTTTAACTTCATCATAATTATAAATAAGTTCAGTTCCCGTGATCTTTAAATGCTTATTCTACTTACGATCTTATCGCCCGCTATATTAGAGCACTACATTGGACACGTGTAAGACAAGACAAGTGTGTTTGCGCTTATTCATCATCATAATCATCATCATTACAACCGTTCACAAGTCCACTACTGAACATAAGCCTCCCTAAAGAAATGCCATAAAACATGGTCCTGAGCTCCCTGCATTGTAAAGACTCACGTGGCTCTAAAATATAACCGTATAAAAATTTTAACTGTCTAAAATCTAAAAATTGTTAATATACGTATCAAATAATATAACCGTTATACGAATACTCATACACTCCTTTTTCCTTTATTAGGTAGGCGTGTCATAAAATAGGTAGGACCTAACACATCATCACTACCTATCCCTTGTATTTAAATTTTCGAGGAGTTGAAATGAACTATATACAAATAAACATAAAAACATTTAAATATGTTTCAATAAATTCAGAAAATGCACATAACATATTGTATTGAATACAGATCTAGACATGTCGATAAAGGGTAGGCATCTGACAAGAAAATTGTACCGAGACGAGGAGTCAGTCATTTAGTATAGGTAATAATAGTTCGCGATTGTACTTCGCATTAGTCTCTGGTTTGGTGAGTTTTTGAAGTATACATTGTCTCCAATTTCATCTACTTGAATATTACTGAACTACATATTTAAATTAACTGCGAAGTATAATATGTAATATATACTATGTAATATAATGTCTATATTTTATGTATGTAGAAGGTAAGTATAAGTTTGTTTTCCTATAACAATACACTGAATATTTTACGAAATTATGTAAATCTGTAATAATAATTATAATAAATGATTTTTCTCGTGTAAAAAACTTAAAGCAATTAAAAATAAAGGATTAATGAGTTTAATCTTTTCTAGTAAATGACTGCTTGGTTGCGTTTAAATCAATTCAATGAAAATTTATTAGTATCTGAAGCATACTAAATTGTGTTGTATATTGCTAATAATGATAAAGGTTCCTTTCGTCTTCTTTAATCTGTAGCGTTCCATATTCTACGTGCGTTAATCAACTTGTGTCTTGTTTCTCTAAAAGTGTAACCAAACAAATTTAATTCCTATATGATTCATGGTAAATCGTAATAATTAATTAATTAGACAAATTATTTAAAAAAATAGTAAAATTTAGAAAATTTAGAAGAAAAAAATATTACGTATTTTTATGATGTTCTTGCATTGTCATCAGAATTAGAGCTATAATCAAAATTTCAAGTTTCCAGCTCACCGGGAAGTTAGTTTAAAATCAATTACTAAATTCGAAAACGAGGAACGACACACAAACAAGAAAATGACTTAATAAAAACGTGGTAAAATATACAGGAGTATGTCTTTTTAATTTGTAAGCGCTTTAGTTATAAGCGTAAAATTACTGTGTTGAGTGTACCCGACTCCACTAATCCAACGCGACTAATGGGCTGCCTTTACTCTATTTATTATACTGCGATGTAACCGTAGATAAAGGAAA